CAGGGAGGTGAACAGCTGTCCATAGTCATTGAGACCACATGGGGTGAAAGAGAAAAATGGAAGCACCCTTTCCAAACAGAAGCTCTTTCTGGGGCTCTTGGAGAAGGTTCATCTCCTCCCACCAATATCTTCCTTCTAGCAAGCACCTGAGAAAAAGGGTAAACTCTTCACACTTGACATTTTTAGGCCACCACCAGTTCTTTGCGTGCCTTCATTAAGCACTAACAGGTGTTAGGCCTCAGCTCTTTCCAGCCCCAGTGGCACAGCCCTTGTACCCCGTTCTAGTAAAGCTGCTTTGCAGCACCATATTGCCCCTGCATTCATCCCTGCTCCACGTTTGGTAGGTTTATTTATACCTCCATGTTCTACCATTCTTAAATCATTAATTTACAAACTCATGACTTAACTTTGAATTAAAACATGCTTTCTGCTTTTCCAAAAGATTTTGGGTGATTTTTTTGCCCAGCCCTGAAACTGCCCTTAGCTACATTGTAGGTTTATGAAAATTGATTGTGCCTATAGCATACATCTGACAAACTTGCATCAACAGTTAAAAATTACCTTAAAATCTTATCTTTAGGAAGTAACATGTACGTTTACCTAGGCCTTGCCATGTTAAATCCAGGTAACACTTTATGGATTATTGCCTTTAATATCTGCTGGTCGTTACAAGTGTGGCCAGCATAGCTAAACAGAGCTTTGGGTGCTAATTCTGTCTCCAAGAAAAAATTCTCAGAGTTTAACTAGTGCGGACCTAAAATGGTGAATATTTGGGATGTACTGAAAATGAATTAGAAATTATGCCTTTTGCGAAACAAGGGACTGTTTCCTATCAAATTCCAGGACAGCTCCTGTCAAGTCTTAAACCTAAAGCCTTAGGAATTAAATCTAAGTCTGGTATCAGTTATCAGGCAGTTCACAGCCAAGCACTCTTTTCATGGTGGCCGATATCAGAGTAACTGATAATGAGGATGTAGATAGCCTAGTTTATGGGAAGGAAATCTGTATGATCATAGGGACGAAGGGAATTAAAACTAAATATATACAGTATATTCATTTCCTGACCTTCATTTAGGAACAAGAGAACTGATGTTTGCAACTCTGCACTCAGACTCATTACTCTACCACGTATACAATCAAAGAATATAGGGAAAAAATTGATACCTCTAAATATATATAAAAAATCCTGCTCATCTTTCTAGCATTTTCATATTCCCTATTTGTGTTTCCCTTCTACTTTTTGTGCTGCATTCCCTTCCATGGTCTCCAAAGGAAGTGAGTGGCAAGCAGGCATTGGCTCACACTGATAGATAGGCAGTGAGCTCCAGAGGTCAAGTCCCTTTGATGTATGACCATGTCAGCCCTCTAAAAAATGACCACAGGTCTTCATGTGTAAATATGTTGAATTTGCTTTTCTAATGCTTCACGACTTAGATAAATTAGAAGACCTAGCCATCCATTACTCTAGGTCCATCCCAAAGGAGGCTTGGCTTTTACTGCAATAAATATAATTTCTCTTATAATTATAGCTCCTTTTAAAACATCTATGTTAGACTTTCATATAAAGACTGTTTTACAACAAGAGCTAGTCCATTTGAAGCTCTAAATAATCATTTGGGGAAAAATTCAATTGTGTTGGCCTAAAAAATACAGAAATATGTGCAAAGACCAAGAATTGTCCAGTCTTTTACTTAATTCGGTATTGTTTTCTTTCCTGTCTGCTTGCTTCAGAAAAACGTATGTATCTTTTCTGGAATTTGATTCTGTTTCATCTTTTGCTCGATGACAGAGTAGAAGCCCATGTTCCTGAGATTTTTCTTGGCTCAAAAGTAAAGCCTCATTATTATTATTATTTATTAAAGCTTAATTGCAGAAACAGCATGATTCCCTCAGCACATGTTTTGCTATATCTCCAATAAATCACAATTTGCAATCCTGGTTTAATTTGTAATGAGAAGCAAACATTGCTAAGAGCACATATATCTTGGTAAGTGTATCCTGACTCATTTCCTGATCTTCCTCACATTGCTGCCACAATGCTGTTTACTACTAGTTCCAGCATGACCACCGTAACCAATGTTCAAGGTAGAGACCTATGTTTAAGCCACACCAACCACACTGATATTTCAAGAAAATGCATTAAATTGTCTTCAAAATATCCACATGTTGTCCAAACAAACTTGTGTTGCCTTGCGCTGACTATTATACCATTACAGCCCAATTATAACATACCATTGTTCAAGTTTTTGAACTGGTGTGTACTTGCACTTGCCTGTTTCTGGATGCTCCATCCCTGGAGCTGTTCAAGACCAAGTTGGATGGGACTTTGAGCAACCTGGTCTAGTGGGCAGTGTCCCTGCCTGTGGCAGGAGGGTTGCAACTAGATGATCTTTAAAGTCCCTTCCAACCCAAACCATTCTGTGGTTTTTAAATTCCCTGTCATTAAACACTCTGGTTGGAGGTTGCTGTGATTATTGTGTCACTCACTGCAATACAAACTAGCTATCAGCCTGGTGTAACTGGATGTCTGAACTGGTTTTTGGCAACTGCTTGGTCTCATGGTTGGTGCAAAACAGCCCAAGCCTGATAATGGATTTCCACTCAGCACTCTCCCTGACAGACTCTCCTACTAGGGCAGACCCTGCAGGAAGTTATTATCTCAGAACACAGGCTACTGGAAAGAGGAGAAGCTGATTTTAAACATAAAATGTTAGAATAAACAGTTTGTGATCAGACTGATTTATGGAAAGGCAGGAGGTGTCTAAGAACAAGGAACAGAGAAAGGCAAGACAAAATCCATCCCAATTTAGGGGCTCAACCTACTGCTGTGATTTTGAGGCAGGAGGACTCCAAATGCCTGGATATCCCCTTGCTCATGTTTCCACTTAAACAAGCACAAGTAATCCATCCCAGTGGAACCTATGCTTGAACAAGGTATAGGGCTGAGCCCTGTGTGCTTTGGACACACACGAAGTTGCCTTCTTGTCTCACAGATGCATCTACCAATTTACAGTTCCACCAAACTCACACTGCTCTACCCATAATTTCAGCCCTCACCAAAGAGTTATTGGCACAATACATGCTGATCTATGATTTTCTCACACGCTGTTCCCACCACTCTTCCTCTGTATCCTTCTCACATGAAAGGTTCTATAGGATCTTAAACTTGGGAAAAAAAAAAACACTACACCAAAAAAAAAAACAAAAAAACAAAACTGTTCTCTGCTTCTTACCTCTTTTAAACATACCCTAAATTTAGGCATGTTGTCATGGGTAAGGCCTTTATTTATATCTGAGAAAATAGTCTGCCAAACATTCCTTGTTCTTCGAATTCCTCATAAATATAATTAATTTCATTCAGTCAACAGGAAAACAAAAAAAAAAAAAAATTAGCATTTCCCAGAATAGCCTTCTGTGTAAACATTATAGACTATGGCTAAATAAGTATTATATGGGATTTAACAAACTGCAAACTCTGTAAGTGAAGTTTAAAATATTTCTTCACCTCTCAAAAGTGAGCAGTTACAGCAGTGGTACACAGCAGGCCTGCTTTTATCAAGCATAAGATTAAAAGTGTTTCACTTGCAACCTAGATGACGTTTTGATGTCAGCACAAAGTTATCTGCTATTTCACTAGGCAGATATACACATCTCAGCAGCGATAGCTAATCTGCTCTGTTTTCAATAGAAATTTTAAACCTGCTTATTTTTGAGACAGAAGGATGTTGGGAAGCAAGAAGCCCACTAAATAGTTTGGCTTTCATTGGCTGGAGTCACACTAACAATGAAATCACTGCCTTTCAGAGTCTAAAACATACTGGCCATTTTTAGTAGAAGTTTGACAGTATGCCCAGGTATAATATCAGAAATAAACATAACCAAAATTATATAAGCTTAAATGGTCATGAATGTGTTTTCTCCACTTTAAATTTTCTTTTGTCTTATTAAGAAGTGCTGCATGCCAATTTTTTAAAACATACGTATATAAATCCATAAAACAGCCTTTTCCAATATTTTTCTAACAAGGCCTCTTACTACAAATGCTTTGTTTGAATGCATATGACAATTACTTTAATTGGCAAAGCCATTGAAGTGAATCATATAGCAGGGAAGCTTTAATGAATGCAATATATTTTCCTCAGTTGTTCCTTTTTTGTGCCTAATTTAGGAACTCAGCCATATAATTGATGTGGCTATCACCATTAGTGTACCATAGAACCTATATGAATGCAGTCTTCACGAGAGACGTCTTTAAAATACATTCTTCCTGCAGCCAGACAAAATAGACTGAGGAAATGAGAAAGCAAGAATGTATCTAACTACTATAGCAAATTTTTAAAGATAATTTGGATCACAAGTCAAAATTCAGTACACTAACAGCCATAAGTGAAGAGTAGGACCCCAGCTGCTTAGGTGGTAAGTTCTTTTAGTCTACTAATAAGTAGTTACTTGCCTCTATTGTCCACATGTAAATAAAATTCCATGTTCACTATTGCTCAATATAAGCGACCATTAAAACTACTTTAAAAATACATACTTTGTTTAGGAAATAAAGTCCTTCAGAGAAGCAAACTATACTAGTACCAAAAATAAGCAAACTACAGTATAATGTACACAACTAGTATGTATTTCAAAAGATTACAATCATGGGCAATATTGTCTGCAGCAGAATATTGGCTGAAGAAGTCCCGTAAAACCACACAGTATTTAAGCTGGGCTGCTTCAGGTCTAAGAAATGAAGCTGTCCTAAATTAAGCACTCAGTAATAAAAGCTGCAGTAAATCCACCTTTCAGGCATCATCTGAACGTTAGCCTTAAAACATGAGGTAAAATGAAACATTGATTTCATTGAAATGAAGGCTATCTCCCCTTCTAAGTCGTAATGGAACAATTGAAGAGCAGTTAGCTCCACAGCATGGGGCCTCCTAGATGTGGAGCTGTAGCCATAAGCACGTTCAGCCATCCTGCACACCTCCAAGTGCTTCCTAATGAACAGTAACATGGGCTGGGTTGGGCAGAGCCGTGGAGCTGACCAGGCAGAGAGCCAGGCTCTTCAGCCTCAGAAAGAGCCAGCTGTGAACCGACTTCCCAGGCTGAAAAGGGAAAAGGTGTTCATCACATTGGCTTACCTGGGAGGTGTGGGGAACTTCGTCCTTCCTCTGGTCGTGGGTCTTGTGCTTTCAGAAAACCCAGATTCTCGCTGGGGAGAAGAAGTAAAGATGAGAAGAATCTAACAGAGCTCTCATCAGCATACTCACAGCTGATGAGTTGGAATAAAATTCTCTTTGAGACAAATGTCCATTTTGCCTTATTAATTTAAACAAGGATTTTAAAGGCAAAGCCCATCAAACATTAGATAAGCATTTTAACTTAATGGACCATGTAGTCCTATTTTCCCCACAAACTCAGGAATCTTCATATTATGTCCTATCTTTACAGCAACATCAATTATTAATACATATACTTTTGCTGACAGAGGACCACACTAAAAATGTGAGTTTCGTTATCCAGTTCTGGGTCATTAACTGTGAAAAGCTTGTAAATATAATGGTTTATTCACATGGGAAGCCTTCATTAAGATGCATTATTCTACGACTGATGTGGCAGCACTGCATTATCAAGTTCCCTGTCTCCATCCAATATTTGTAATTTGTTTCTAAATGAGTTGCTGTTTGTAGGGCAAGTTAACAAATTTGAATTTCACATAACCAAAGAAATTTCTTAAAGATGGGAGAATGGTTCTTCCCCCAAGGAAAAGCTATTTATTAGTGTCTTACTGTAGAATGCCTCCCTTTGATTCAGAAGCAGAAAAATTAGAGGCGCTGAGAGAAGTGATATTAGAAATAAATTGACTTGTCTTCCTTAACGTGCACTTTAAGTATAGAGGGCTATAAAAACAGCACTGTGGTCTCACTATAACTCTTTAGAGTTCCAGAACAAACATGTGCACACATGGAAGGTTGATCCATAATATTGGAAGGCACAAGTCAAAGACTGGACAGGTAAAGAGCCCTTCCTGCTGGAGTGGTCTGAAACCATCCTCTCACACTGCCCATCTGTCATTTCACTCCTCCTGCCATTTCACTACCTATTTTCTCTTGCATCCTCAGATGGCCAAAGCTTTTTCAGACATTGTTCTAAACTCTGCTCTTTGACAAGAGAACACATAGAGACTTTGTCTCCATTTGAAGACCTAGGAGTGCTAGAAGATTAATCCAACGTCCCAGGTATTGCAGTTGCTTCCTCATTACTGAGGCAGTGTCAGGAACATGTCAAACTCCAAAGCTGGTGAGGTTTAGGTTGACACATACTGTCACGATTAAGAAAAGGACACTGTGGACTACAGAAAGCAAGCTTAACATAACAGCTTTCCTCAACTGCAAAGCAAGAAGGTTGAGGGAGTGTTCTCCAATTCATATCATCTATGCTATTCATAACCTTTTTTTAATTAGGTGTTGTAATAGTCTAACAAAATTCATACTGTCCATTACGTGTCTGAGCACTTGGTTTTCTTTCCTCCATCTTTTATTTGGCAAAAGAAATGCATTTTCTACAAAACCACACCACAAAAAAACCCACACCTATGGACATCTTGTTATATCTATTCAGCAGCTCCTGCCACCTAAGTGTCTATTTTTAGGTTATGTTGCTAAAAATCACTTCCACACTCAACTTTGTATCTAGTTCTTATTATTATTCCCTACCTATACTTTACCAGCTGATTCCTTTCCTTGACTGTTCACACTTGGATCAGTTCTTAGAGGCTAGGGATGCAGTTTTTAAGATAGTCTCCATTTCACTTGTTAGCCTGTAATACATCAAAGTTCCTTTGATGTTTCCTCATCCTTATTTTGCCTAGGTCAGATTCACTTTTGTTGACATAACAGCAGATTTCAAAGTAACACAATGGAAAGTCACATCAGTTGTAGGTTCACCTGTAATGTTTTACTAACAGCTGAATAACTGCAGCATGATTTCCTCACTGCTGTTCAGCACTTGCTTCCTTCTCCTCCCTGAGAACAGGAGCCAGCCTTCAGCTCCTGACATGTGTCAGCCTCCTGGTCTTCACTCAAACAGGACATGCTGCGTATGTTCCACGTTAGACGGCCACGGACCCTTCAGGACTCATTTATCACAGCCAGCTCTGCTTTTCATTTCATGCTCCTCCCCACCCATCTGAGCTGCAGCATGCTACTGCCAAAGCCTTTGCACAACAGGAGGAGCCCCTTGTTTGGCAACTGTCTTTGCACTGATAGGCCAACTTTAAAGGGTGGTGTTTGTTATTAACCTATCTCCCTGCTACTCATCACAACAACTTGCCTGGCACCATCAAGGGTCTTTCCATACCTGCCATGCCATCCTATCGTGTTGGCTTCTCCAACATCTGCCCTCCTTATCCATCTGTCTGGGACTGGGCCAGCTCTGCTTTCCCAGTAATGGAAACAATCAGGCAACAGCACATTTCACATAAGCAACCGCCTTTTCCTCTATGTAAATAAAGCCTTTTCCATGTACTTTAATATAGACAATATTAATAACAAGAAATCAATAGGATTGGAAAAAAATGCAATCAAATGAGAATACACTGTTATCAACTTACCCTGTTCCCTTTCATTCCTTTCTTCAGTGAATTATCCAAAGTGACTCGTGTTGGTAGAATTGATTCCTATTGCTTTTGTTTTCTTGTAGTAAAACAACCTTTGGAAAAGAGAAATTAAAAAAAGATGAAGGGCAAATGCAACAGAGCTTCTTTTCATAAGCTGTTCTACAATGCTGTTCTACATAATCTGTTCTTCAGCCTCAGGGCTCCGAGTGCAGCTCACAGACCAGCATCAACAGATGTATTGATAAGTGCATGGTGCTCAGACAGGTAGCTGCACAAACCTTTACTGAGGACTTGGCTGGACTTTGCTGACCAGAGCAGGATCTGCAGCCTTGTGGCTATCAGCATCTGTGCCAGCTAGTTTAGAGGTACCTCAACTGTGTCCACACGAGGTTCATGACTCTGGAACCAACTGTAGATATAAATTGTGTCACAGTTAAAAATAGGTGCTGGTGAAGACTGGACACGGTTCTGTGGAGACTGAAACATGAGTGAAAGTGACATCTCAAGGGTGAAAGGCAACATTCTGGGTCAGGTATTCAGGAGGAGTGTGTGCAGCCACCTCACAGCAGCGTGTGCACACGCTGCTGCTCTTGTTTCCCTCCCAGATATTTTCTCACCAGTGGCCTCAACCAATTCCTTTGCTGATTAAAGACAGTTCCTACGTGTTGTGAAGGTGCAGAATTGCATAGGTTCTCCTCATGCAAGCCAACAGTCCTCGGCTTTTTCCTCACATATGCTGCCACCTATATGTCAGTCACTAGCTGTGGAAAGTAAAAGAAACCATATTACAAAACAGATTCCTATCTTTTCTCCTCTTTTCCATTTTTGAATTTGACATACACTATCGGACAATACAATAAGTATTTCCCAAGTATGTGGAAAATAATTTATTCCAGAATTGAAAAAAAGAAAAAACAAAGCTAACTTACAAGTTAATTTTTTTTAAATGCATTTTTCTCTATTCTTAGAAGGTAGTAAAAGCTTGTAAAACAGTGGGAACAACTTTATCAACCATTGTAAACTAAAAAATGTAAAGTTTCAGCCCACCCACACAGACAGTAATTTTCATGCTTCTGGATTTGCATTCCAGAAAGACTTTCATTTTTCTCTCTCAAAGTACACATGTAAAATCAATCATAAAGCAGAAGTGATTTTAGACTTCTAAACAGGCTCAGAAGCCATTCTTGCCAAAGTTATCAAATCCTGGGAAACTTGGGGAGCTATGATTTTTGTTATGATGTTTTAGAGGTTTGCTTATCCTTTTGTTGTTGTTGTTGTTCAAGGGAAGTTGATTTCCTGAAGGATTACAACCAGCTGCAACAAAATACCAGGAAACCAGCGACCAAGCAGTGCATATAAAAATTTAAGCGAACAAATTAAAAACAATACAGTCTAATTAAAAAATACCAATGGGAAGTCCAAACATTTGAAAATTCAATTAAAAAAGTCGCTGGCACCCTTCTGACATGGATAAGGCTGGTATTTGCAGAACAGCAGCTTTCTCACCTGTCTCATTGAGATCTCACACTGAAAGGGTTGTTTTTGTACATTGCAATGTTGTTAATTAATGCTGATAACAATAGACCATTGTGTGCATCCAGGCACTTTTATGAGCACAGGGGTGTTTGCTGGTTTCCCACAAATAAATTAAGGCTTAAGCTCGGATTCACTATCAGCCTGGCATTCCAGTTTATATTAAGTTTCTTTTAACTCATACTTTTTGTTTTCTCATTTTGTTGTTTTCAGAGGCCACCTCCTCACTTAATGGCAACGAGCATTTTGCAGATGCACGCTGGGCAAATAAATGCCCTGCAAGGTGAGGTCCAGGAAGGACACGAGGAATTCATCAAGGACCAGCTGAGAGAAATGGAGAGGCTCCACATCAAGGAAGCCCTCCAGGATCAGATCGGCCAGTACTTCATCGAGAACCGGTGAGCAGCAACAAACACTTGCAACTTAATAAGTCCATTTGCCTCAAGAAACCTGATTTTGCAGCTCTTACAAACTGCAAAAATCCATCTTGCAGTGGTGATCCCAGTCCCAGCTGCAGAACTAAGTTCCTCAGCAGCAGGACTCCAAACTGGGGAAACCAGGTTAGCGGATGTTTTGCCAATGACCAGGCCCAAAAAAAAAATGATGCCACCAGCAGGAAGATGAACCAATACACAGACTGTATTGTAGACAAGAAGGACATTGCATGAATGATCGCTGGGGGTACAAACAGATCAATCAGCTGGGACATAATTGACACCACTCCCAACGATCCCACAAATGACACGACTCAGCCCACAACAGGTGGTACAAACAGAGACCCGAGGTTGCCCACAGTTGGCAGGAGAAACAGCCAGAGCAGCAGCTGAACACATCAGAGAAAGGTGCCCACATAGTGACTCTCACCCGATCCGCCCGCATTTGCAAAGGTCTAAACAGACTGGGGCCCAGCTCCGGGGAGAGTCAGGAGATCTTCCCTGAACCAGGGAGCTCTGTGGAGTGCACTCCACAGACAGACACTCCTGACTCCCTGCCAGTGCTCCCAGCTTTTATCCCCAAGCAGACCCCTGACCTTTGTCAGCTCCCTGTGGGACCCCTGGGGCTCATTTCCCTTCTGGCTCTCCCTGCAGGGCCAGCCGCACCCTGGGGGGAAGCTCTAAGGCCAACTCACCCCCTCTGAATGAAGGGCTGTGGGAATCACCCATATGTCAACCTTAATTTGAGGGCTCAGGTTTCAGACCCCAGCACTTCAGCGGGTCACTCCTTGCACAGTCCAGCAAGGAGCCAGCACAATCCAAGTTGAAAACTCAGTGGCAAGACTGGCTGCAGAATCAGGTCCACAGGCACTGAAGCGGGTACACGTTCAGATGGCACATTCCCTGGGGCTCTGGCTTTGTAATTACAAGAAGGATACTTAAAGTTTAGGAACAGTGACTCTTTTTCCCCTCTGTCTGAGCACAAGGTTTGAGAGAGAATGCAGTTTTCCATGAGCTAGAAATACAGTTATTTGCTATAGCAAATCACATCACATCCCCAGCACTGCAGTCCAGGTGCCTGCTACTGGCATTAGCCAGCGTATGAGTCTGAAGCACTTTCATACTTGAGGCCTGACCTTGTACACTCCTCCAAACGTAACCTGACTTCAGTAGTGCTGCTGATCTCAGGGAAACTTCACGTCTCAGTAGAGTTAACCACATACTTACATGGTTTTAAACTGAGTGCTGACACCTATAGTTCGCTCAGAAAGTTTACTTGAGCTGAGGAAGTTTTGAGACTGGCAATTTTAATATGGCAATACTGTAAAGCCTCATACTAAGGAATATAGGCTGGTTTTATGACATAGGTATTTTTCCCCAAGATTTTCCCCATCCACTGGGTTTGTAAAAGTGAATTGAGAAACAGCACTCAAAAGTTCCAGGATTTAACAAAAAGGTTTCAGCTGCTCTGCCTGGAACTGCAAGAACACTTCTAGCATGGTTGTGTTTTGGGCTTCTTGGTGATGTTACAGAGCACGTATTTCACTCATGGACTAGCATCATGTCCAGTTACTGTTCAACGTGTTTTCAGTATGCTGGACCTGCCTTCAGCATGCAGTTTCCAGTTGGAAACACAAATGCATTCTGATGAAATCCTGCTCTATCTATTCCTTGACTACTTTACTTGGGTTTTAGTAGCTATATGACAATGCAGTGTTTGTTGAAAACAAAAGCAATTAAGAAATAAGTCCCTTACAGGTCTGCACAATCTCTTTTCTCTTCTTTCTTGTACTTTTACTCCATAGACACTCGAGACTTTGGTATATTTTTAGCCCATCTAGTTCTCCTTTAGAAACAACTGCTAGGTCTACAGCCCTCAGTTATTGCAAAGCACTTCCCTGTTCCCTAAATCACCCTTGTTCCTAGGGCCCAGTCCACATGCTTCTTGAGCTGACATTTCCTGCTGCTCCCCACAACTCCCAGCATGTTCTGAGGCACAGAAAGGTCCGACTTCCTTCGCTTAATATTGCATATCTTAAAGTAATTCTCTAACATAGGTCAGTCATGTCCAATTATCTTAATTCTACAGCTTGAGGAGAACTGAAATACTGTGTGAACCAATAATGATGTTTCTCTAGGAGACAAGCAGAGACCAGTCAATCTCCCAGAGAATAAGGCTGAGCCGTAAACCTTTTTAAAGACAGTTATGAGACATTACTAAAAGTAAAATCTATTCCGTCGAGACACTTAACAGCAGAGCTAACCAAGAGCCTAACCCGTCCAAAGGATCATTTGGAGGAAGGCAAAGCCGTTGGTCAGTCAGGGGCGGTGGAGAGGAGTGGCTGAATGAGCAATTCATCAAAACCCTCCCTACCTAATGTATAAGTGACCTCAGACTTACGTGTCAGTGGAACACTCTGAAGAGGTCAGGTGGAGTGTAAATGCTGAGCTTTCTTATTCAGTAGCCTTTACAAGAGAAATGAGACCTCGTTGCTACACTTATATCCCAGGTGTGCCCAAGGGCCCAACTTGAGGTGAGACTTCAAGGCTATGAGCAGACATAGTCGGTATCCCAGCATATAAATACGTGATTAAACAAGTTATAAGGAGTTCTTTAGCTAACCTTTGTCTGGCCTAGTCAAGTTCAGTACTATTGAAAATTAATAAAGATTAAAGCAGATATTTGAATATAAGCACCACGTTAACTGATCTTGGATAGTTTAAAGATATGCTGCTCCCAAGCGAGTGTATTAAGTGGGACTAGGATACACCCACATACAGAGTTCATAGAGTCACAGAATAGTTTGAGCTGGGAGGGACCTTGATGATCATCTAGTTCCAACTCCCCTGCCATGGGTAGGGACACCTCCCACTAGACCAGATTGCTCAAGTCTTCATCCAGCCTGATGCCAGTGTCTCACCAACCTCAGAATGAAATTTTTTTTCCTGATTTCTAATCTAATTCTCCCCTTTTCCAGTTTGAAGCCATTATCTCTCATCCTGTCACTAGAAGCCCTTGTAAAAATCTGTCCCCAGCTTTTTAACAGGACCCTTGAAGTCCTGGAAGGCCACCAGAAGGTCTCCCTAGAGCCTTCTCTTCCCAGGCTGCCCCAGCTCAACCCTCTCCTGCTGGGCTCCCAGCAGAGGGGTTCCCCCCTCGGGGCATTGCTGGGGCTCCTCTGGCCTCTGGTCCCTGGCTCTGCTGTGCTGAGGACTCGAGAGCTGCCCCAGATGGGGTGACAATTTGACAGACAGGGTGCAAGCAGAGCAGCGTGTTTGACCATAATCCTTGTTACTCTGCTTTTAAAGTGCCCATCACGATCTCTAAAAATCAGTAAGGCACGTTTCAGCTGAGATTAGACAGATCTCATTGACAAAAAAAAAATATTCTGTTGATTTTGCAGATTAGTAGATAAAATTCTGCCCCCAGTGAAGCTATCAGGAGAGCTGCCATCAGCTTCAGCAAAGGCTGGACATCACCCAGTATTTTTGGTCTTTTGAGTCTGGCTGAGTGATGCTGTGGTTAACAGGACTGAGAGGAGTCAGAGTGAGCTGCCTGCCATCTTGCTCTTCACAGGAGACCTCTGTTTAAGCGACGAAACTAATTTTCCCCACAGACATTCTCTTGTATCCAAAACAGGTTAAAAAACCCCATACCAGCAAATTTCTACACATGTGGAGCATGTGTGTCACACAGAGCCAAGCTTTCCGAGCAGTGCATGCCAGGGACACTGCAGAAGTAGCAGGAGCTGTGTCCTGCTCCTGCCTGGTTGAACAGATCTGAAGTGTCAAGGTTTACATTAATTATTACCTGCCAGGGTGTATTTTGGCTCTCCACTAAGCCAGTTTCTGAGTTCAACAGCTAGATGTAGCTTATAAATTATTCTTCAGCTAGACTTTTTCGACAGTTTACCATTTTCCATAGTCTATTAAATAAGCAGATAGCTAAAGGGAAACAGATTCTTTTGAATAAATTTTGCTGTGTGTACTAATGAAAAAACCCCAAACTTCCATATTTTACCCTTCAACTGCGGAAGGCTGTGATAAGAAACAATTAGCAGGTACTGTCCTTCAGCACAGCTATTAGATTACGAAAAGAATGAAGACATATTAAATTTATCCACTTATAACACAAGAGAACAGCCACAGCTTCAATCATTTGAAGACCCAACACTACTTATAAAGACAGATTCTAAAATAGCAAAACCCTAAGGAATAAACAAAAACATTCCAGTTACTTATAGCAATCCCACTACAGAGAAGACAAAATATTTTCTAATACTGTGCATTTCACAGCCCTAGCATCCATTGCTGTTAGACAAAATATTTTCTAATACTGTGCATCCATTGCTGTGCTGTTTATCTGCACTGAGTTCTGTACAGCTGTTCTTCTTGCTTTGAAAATTATTTACAGAAAGCTTTCTAGATTTCTATCCAGCCTTGTCCCTTTGCACCATACTATTTTTTTTTTTTTTTTTTTTTAATGAAAGTATCATGCAGTATACCTACAGAATCATAGAATGACTGAACAGTTTGACTGGGAAGCAACCTTAAAGTTCATCTAGTTCTAATCCCACTAGACCAGGCAACCTAAATCCCCATCCAACCTGGTCTGGAACACCTCCAGAGATGGAGCATCCACAGCTTCCCTGGGCAACCTGGGCCAGGGTCTCACCACTCTCAGAGTGAAGAGCTTCTTCCTTATACCAAATCTAAATCTCCCCTATTCCAGATTAAAACCCTTATCCCTCATCCTATCACCACAAGCCCTTGTAAAAAGTCTGTCCCCACCTTTCTGATAGGCTCATTGAAATCCTGGAAAGCCTCAAGAGGGTCTTCCCAGAGCCTTCTCTTTTCTAGGCTGAACAACCCCAAGTGTCTCAGCCTGGCCTCCCAGCAGAGGGGTTCCAGCCCTGGCATCATTTCTGTGGCCTTCTCTGACCCCACTCCAACAAGTCCATGTA